CATATATTTATATTAAATATACATACATATATTTAATATGTGTGTATGCATGCATATTTTTAAAAGAGGGTCTTGTGTAATTTGGAATCTGGTTTTTATCCTTCCAACAGTCTATATGGTAACTATTGTTTATATAATTTAATATTCTTTAAATCTCCTTTCACTGAACTCACAGTATTTATTATTTCAATAATCACTTTACTGACTCCATGTTCATGATGGTTTAAACACTGTAATGGATTAAAACCTGATGATCAACAGCACCAGCTGAACTAAATCAATATGGTTTTGAGTGTAGATAGCCCACCTGAGGAAAGTTGCCAGCATAAATAGAGATATAGAAAAGAAGAGTGAGGAACTATGGGTCTCCCTAAGTGTTCCTGTTTTGAGCCTTTGGTTCTCCTGGAGGAGCTTGTCATAGCTTAGCTTCCATGGTATGAATTTGGCCATTTTCATCTGAGGGGCTCAGGACCTTGTCACTGAGAGTGGCTGTGGATCACTTTGGGAGAACTTTGTTCCTTACATTGAGCCTGGCTTCCTGACTTCTGAGGGGAAGATGTGTGCTGTTTAATCTCCAGAAAAAGTTTGTCATGCTGGCTTCCTGGTATGTACTCCAATGTTCTCATTATCAGAGTAGCTTGGAAATTCATTGTTAGTGAGGATGTCTGTGGTACTTTTCAGGGTGGCCCTTGCCTTTATTTTGAACATGACTTCTCAGCTACAGTGTAGAACACTTAACTTACTTGCATAGCTCCTTCACCCCATTGGCATAGACTCTAGCTTCCACTGCTGACCTTTGGGTCTTCCCAGTGCATGTCTGTAAAACAGCCTGGCATGAGGCTTTGTCAAGGGTTCTAGACCTCCAGATAGACTCATGGGAAGCCTTATCATAGGCTCTGGGTCTTCAGCTGAACTCATGCAGGGCATTGCTGTGAGATCCAGGCCCTTGTCTGAATATTCTGGGTCTTTAGTGTTGTGGACAGATTTCCTACACTTTTTTGTATTTAACTCTGGGTGACAATCATAAAATAGTATTATAAATTCTGTATCCTATATGTAAGTGTTCTCACAACCCCTGATTACAACATAAATTGGTACCAGGAGTGGGGTCATTCCTGTGACTGTACTTGACCATGTGGTTCAAGAGTCTTTGTAAATGGCTTGTGGAAAGAGTTTGGAAAAGTTTGGAGATGTCACCTGAAAGAAAGGTGCTGAAACAGCTTAGGCTGTTCTGTATGAGGGATTGAGTCAGAGCTCAGAAGACAAGGAGGCTAGTCAAAAGCTTGCTGGTAAAGACCAGGCTTGGGAATTCTCTGCTGTTAAGAAGGACTGCATTGATTGTTGAACTCCAGATGATGTATGTTATGGGTTGGCAGAAAGTTTGTCTGTCTTTTGCTTGTGTCCAACGATTTTGCCGAGACTAATATTAAGCAGAGGCTGTACTGATTAATCTGGCAGAAGAAACTTCAAGGTAGTTTAAAGTTGAGGCAGTTGCATGGCTATTGTTGAGGGCTTTTACACAGATTTGTATTGCAAATCAAGAGCAAAGAGCCCATTAGAATTATTCAAACTGTTGTGACCTTGACTAGGAAGCTGTGGACTACAAGAGGCCTCAATTGCTAAAAAGGAACAGAAAAACAAAAGAGATGGTCTGAAGACATCCTGGGAAGCAGTGTGTCTCCAACTTTTGCAGCCTCAAAACTGCAAAACCAAAAGACTTTGCTCAGAGGAGAAAATTGCAGAGCACCATGTTCCAGAATGGTAATGGAGGCCACATGAGTTTTCAAAATGGCGGCAGCCACACCAGGTTCCAGAATGGCAGCAACATACAGAAGCTGCTCCACACAATCAGATTGAGAGTGCTCAGTGATCCAGGCCCCTACAGCCAAGAGAGAAGAAAGAATGAATACTGCTCCAGTTGATAGCAGAACTTGGCAGCATCCGTGTGGCACTGGTTTTAGGTGCATAAAGAATGCCCAAGTTCTGAGGTTAAGAGAGATTCCATCCCTGATTTCACAAGACTTGGGAGGCCAGACATTGTGCCCCTGACAAGACAGTGTGTGAAACTTTGAATGTGAAGCCAAAGGTGGAGTGGAGAACCCAGATGTTTAGAAAAGCCAGGAGCAAAAGCCAGGAGCATGGATCATCTAAGGAAAGCTGCAAAAATTGAGCAGAATGGGTCTAAGAGAGAGGCCCTTGGAGCTAAAACCACCAGAAGTGCTAGGGGCTGGGGATTTAGCTCAGTGGCATAAGCACCTGCCTTGCAAGCAGGCGGTCGTGAGTTCGATCCCTGGTACCGATAAAAATGAAAAAGACAAAAAAAAAAAAAAAAAGACAAGTGCTGTGAGGGTGGAATCACTCAGGCCTAGAAGAGCTCAAAACCAGATTGCTTCATATGCTAAGCATAGGACTCCAGGATTAATATTTGCCCTGCTGGATTTTGGACTTGCTTTGCATTCCCCTCTTTGTACCTTTTGGAATGTCACAAGTTTATCTAGTGTCACTGTATATTGGAAGTATTTAATTTTATTTTCCTTTGTATGGGGTGAGTTATAGCTGTGAGTTGGCCTTAGATCTCAGCAAAGATGTGGGACTTGAACTTTTCATAAGTGCTGAAACTGTTAGGATTTTGGCAACTCTTGGAGATGGACTAAAGGTCTTTTGCATAAAGGAGGTACATGAGTCTTTTAGGGGCCATGAGTATAATGCTATGGTTTGTGTCTACATGGCCCCCCAATGCTCAGGCTGACATGGAGGTGGCTGAATCTAGCATTTGTGATTGGTTCATCCTGGGATTGGCAGTGTGAGTGCTGCACCCACACAGAGGCAGAGCTAGCTTACAATATAAGGGAGGGGAAAAGGCATGCTTTTCGTCTTTTGCTCTGTTCACTCTTGCTGTTTGCTGCCACCAGGAACAGATGTCCCTTGACCATACCACCCAGCTGAGTATGGACTGAAATTTCCAAAACTGTAAGAAATAAGCCTTTCCTTCCTTTATGTTGGACATCAGGTATTTTGTGTCAACAATGAGAAAAAAGTAAACAAGACATTTTGCTGTTAAAAATCACAAAAGTCAACTTGACTATAAGTTTCATTAAACATGCTGTCAATGAGTTAATCTTTTAGCATTTTGATCTTTCAGAAGTAAATAAAATTTTGTTAATCAAGATAATTATGGAGAGAAAATTTAATAGGACATTTGATTATTTCAATCTTTTGTTTAAATGTAGAATGGTGATTGGACTATATATTTTGCTGCTAACAAAAATTATCACATTGTGCTAATAATCTTAAATTACCTTCTCAATCTAATCAAAGTTCCCATCATTCCGGCCCTTTCTTTAATTGTTTTGTGCTTCAAACAGATCACTTGTAACTCTTCTAGCATGTTCACTATTTTTATATACCAGCAACTACTGAAGATGTCATTTGTCCCTAAGAGATGTGGAACTGCACTCAGGTAGCTCCATAAAGAATCAGCTGCCTGTGAGGTCTTCACTTAACCACATGTCTGACAGTCACTGATTGCTTCTTTATATAGCTCTGTGTGTGACCTCTATCTGATGTTCTTTTCATTGAAAAGATATATTTACATGTTCTTCTCAATAGCTTATGAGAATCTTCAGGGTGGTGATTTATATTTTACTCATTTTTCATTTCCAGTACTTGGAGAAATGTCTGACATCTAGTCAACATCTTGGAAATATTAATTAAAATAATTACCCCAGGCATCTTGACAAGAAGATAAAACTAGAAAGAGGAATGAATACTTTCAACATGTTTTGGACAGAGCTGCTCATGTCTTACAACATCTATGGTTTCAGTCTTGGTGTCATTTTGAGATGATAGAAAGGGCTTATATTTTATGCTACTTGTCTCTTTTTCTCTACTGTAAGTGGACCAAACTTATCTATGAGTTACCCTCCTCCCTGATGAGGAGGAGAGCCTTGTCCCAAAGTATAGGTAGGCAATGAAGGCATGCTATTAGATTGTGATGTGAAGAGTTAGATTTTGATATTCTCTATGATTGTTATCTTCTCCTCCATTAACAACACTCTTCTGTGGTCAAGGCAAATGACAATGTCATAATTATCTTCAGACAAATGAGTTCTAGAAACTGAAGAGCTTAATTTATGCATTAATGTTTACTTGCAATTATTGGTTATACATCACGAGTGAAACATCTTAGCTGCTTAAATTTGTTGCTTTGATCAAGGATTCTGTAAACCTTTTTGATTTACCTTCCTTGCTAGAAAATAATTTTTGAAAATAGGAGAAAGAAAACAAGAAACAGATAACCTTGGCTCATTTTACAGTAGAACTGGAATTGTCAAATGACAGAATTTCCTAAAAAGGACAAATCTCTTTATAATTGGAGCCAAAAAGCCACCCACTGGGCTTCAGGATGATTCAGAGGGCTATCTCCCCCTGGTCTGCGTAGCTGCTCTAAATAGCTTCCTAACTTCTTCCAAATCAAGAGTCTATGATCCTATGTAATTATTTATTTGTGCACAAAAGGTTGTCACCCATAATAATTATACCACTTGCAAATAATTTTCATGTTTTCATTGTTTTTCCCATTCAACTGAGTAATTAACTAGATCCTATTGTTTCATATTTAAAAGCACTATCCAAATCATTGACTAGACACTGAAACATTTTCTTAAGTTTTTTCATATAAGATTTTCTGTAGTGGTATCTGTCAGGACAAATGTGACTAAATAGTCTGGTTATGTAACTCAACAGACATATATGTCAAAAAATGACTTCTTTGGTTTCAAAGTGTTACTGAAAAATCTTTTATAGTATTTCAATGATAACCAGATGTTTCTTTGAGGGTAGTATCTTTTCACAGGAAAAATGTATAGCTACACATCATGTGAAAATTTAGTATTTTTACATCGGATTTTTTCTTAAATATTTATTTTAAGGTTCTTGGAAAATAGCATGACTTACACTTGAATAAGAATATTTATAAATAAGGCATAACACAAAAACAATTATTGAAATAAATTTATTTTAAGTGAAATCGTAATTAGCACCTTATACAAGTTTGAATATAACCAAAATATCTACATTTAAAGAACAAGTTATTTAACAAATTACATAATATGAGTCAGAGTACAGTTTTTGCTTTTATGATTAAGACCTTGTATAAATAAGACAGAGACTATAATCCCAGATAAAAGTCTTCAAGAAGCTAAATTTCACTTGAATCATATGCATATGGCCTTGGCAACTCTTCTCTACAATTCAACAAAATAACCAAAGATGCATTTTTTAACTGATGTAGTAAAAGGTTCATATGTAAATTTCTATTCTACTATCATTGCTTTATTTAGGCATTTAATTATTGGCTTTTTAGTTATCAATTCATTTAACTGACCTTTCTGCAAATTGAATATGATGCTTATATGAAGAACAACTGGAACTTGAATATATTTTTGTTTCCATTGCTTATTTTTCTTCCTTTAAAAAAAGGTACATGTCATTAATGATTGCAAATCAAGATATTTAAGAAAGGTTGTGAAAATACATTTTAAAAAATCAGTATAATCATAAACTAGCTTAAAACAATCACAAAAATATAAAGGAAGTATATTCAATTGTATAAAGTACACATGTACTTTCTACAGGAAAATTTTATATGCCCAACCTCATTAAAGGAATGAAGTTATAAGTTAGAATATCTAAAAACCTCTAGTCAGACTTCAGATGATGTCAAAGTCTAGTATTTGGCTCAAGCATTTGATGATTCAGCAGGAGAAACAGAAAGAAATCATCCCAGATCCATTGTGGTCATGGTGTGGAGTTGGGCAGGCTGTCCTACCTTCCAAGGGATAGACCCCAAGTCCCCACAGGTGTCATTTAGAGCCTACAGCAACTCCACAACAGAGACTTAATGTGCTTTCTATCCAGCCAAGAGGAAACTATATACAGTGAGAGGAAAGTTAGTTCTTTCAAGCCTAGAGAGACATTATCTTTAATATTTTTCATAAGAGGTCAAACTAAAGTTCTTATGAAGATACTGAAGAAACAGTAATTATAAGGCATAATGTATCCAGAGTGTTGTAGGTAAGGTTGGATTCTGCTAATTAACTTTTCATGATTTCTTATTTCAATTCTTGTGCTAAAAATCTACAATAGTTCTGAGGTTCAGCCACTTCATCCAAATAGAACGTCTAAATGGATGTAGTATGAGAGAGGGGATTATTGTCCATGGTGAACTAGAGAAATCAAATTTCATTCAAAAGAACTACAGCCACACAGACACAGTTCCATCACAAGAGGTTCACTCACGTGGTACCTCTGAGTTTTTATGAGAATCTAGAAGTCTGGGTATGAATGAAAAATCTAAGTTTAGGATGTGTTCAATCAATTTAGTAACAAACAATTCCACGTAAGACAAATAGAGCATGTTCACACACTCATTGTGGCTCCTAAATATGTCTTTCTGCTAGAAATTTAGAGTAAAACAAATTTGGGCTTCAGATATATTATCTCACCTTTATTAGTTTCTCTTGATATTACTGATAATATGGGATTCACTTGGATAAAATCATCAGACTCAGCTGGTGTAATATCTTTGGCTTGGGGCTCAAGTATGACGAGATTTGTCAACCTGTTACAAAAGGAGAGATCTACTTTAGGGCAATATTTAATAGATACAACTAGAATAATCTATAAAAAGTGTACTTTTATTTTCCATTCTTTTTGTTGTGGAACAGACTTTGTTTAAGTAGTCTTACCAATCTCAAAGTGAGGTTTTTAGTTACAATTTAGCACAAAAATATGTGAAGAATAAAACATTTTTAATATTTGAGGAAAGAGAATATTAATACAAACATAATTATTAACTTAGTTAAGGACCAACAATTATGGGCAAGTTATAAGTGTTCTATATGTAATGTTTAACATCCACAAGCACCTTGTATAATGGCTATAATTGACTTCATTTTATAGGTAATACCTCTGATGATCAGAAAATCCAAGTTATTTGCTCAAGTTTACAGAGGGAGTGAGTCAGATTTAAACAAGGACAAACAATTCCAGGATCCAGGTTTTTGGACAACCTACGATCCACCATTGCTACTTTTCATCCTTAATACTGAACTCTTCCTTAGGTACCTCATCATCCCAGTTGCCGATGAAGAATAAGTAATCATTGTCATTGATAAAAGTTCCGGAAGGGTAAGAAACATATCCGTGTTTGAAGAATTGGAAGAGTAGTTGTGGTCATGGATTTTTTTGAATGGACTAGGTGTATTTTAGCATGTCACAATGCTACCATAGTATACTAATTTCAAAGATATTCTTCTAAAATAGAACTAAAACCAGTTCTGTTTCAACTACAACTATCTTTTGAGTTTGTAGTAGATATTGAAAGAAGTTGATTGGACAGAATGTTGCTTATGATTGAAGTCATTTAAACCCCTAAAAAGTAATTTTAAAATCTATTTAATTGTAAAATAAACCCTTCCATTAATCTTAATTATCATTTGTAATATGTGATATTTTATTCTTCTTCAAATATACATCCATTATGCTTTAAAGTATAAATCACTATATGATTTATTTTATTCCAAACATAAAAAAGTTCAAATTCAGAATATGAATAAGGTTTTACAGAACAAATAGTATTTTGATTGTGAATGTTTACATCCTTTCTATGATTTTGGCATCTAACTTAATTCTCCTATGATTTTAACCTTTCCAAAATAGTGTTTTAATAAACATTTTGTTTAATGATTAGCACTATTGTACTTAAAGTATTCTATCACATGATTATAACTGTTTATAGTTTTTAATATCCCTACCTAATATTACTTTGAAAATGAAAATTACTTTGAAGAAACTTTGTATATTCAAATCACATAAATTGTTACATTGTAATTTACCTAGAAATAGAGATCAGCTATATGTTTATTTAAAATAGTAGAAATAACATTTATAGAAAGCATTTAAAATATAATAGTATCACCTTTCTACTGTATAGACTGTATCTTACTGAATTTCAGTAGAATTACTTTTAGTCACTGCTACAATTTCTTTCTTGAATAATAATTTTGTTTCAATTTTTGGGATTTAATTGTGCTCTGCTTTTACCATAGACATCACAACGTATATGCCTGGGAAGATTAAAATTAAAATGGTACTCAGGAACTATGGCTTTTCAGAAGGAAGAACTTAGGAGTGTGGGAACATTTGATATCTTCACTTTGAGATTCATGACTTAAAAGCTTAACTTTTCTTCCTCTCACCTCATAATGTTGACCTTGGTCTTGTCTGTTCCTTTATAATTGTTTGGACTGCATTCTCCTTCATGGATGACGGCTTCTTATTAAATTATTTATTGATGTGGCTGACACTAGTTGAATAGATTCATTAAACTTCACAAGTTGTTGAAGCCTAGTTCACTGGAAAGAAAACCCCTCTTTAGACTCCTTAAAGGACAAAAAGCATCATGTTTTCTCAGCTCTTTTAAAGCATTTAATAAAGCATGAAAAGATATGACATCAATCCTACTAAAACACAAGGGAAAATGAATGATGTTACTGTAAATCTTTACATCAATCACACCCAATACTTTGGAAAACAATATAGTTTTGTTTGCATTTCAGAAGTGACAAACAACTCTTGTGACTAGCTTAACATAGTCACTTTCTATTAGTCAAGACCAGAAGCAAGTCAGAATTAAAATGTGGCCCTGTGTTGCTAGGCAGCTGAGTTGTCTTGACATGGTGGTTAGTTTCCTTTTCACTGAATGACAACAGTGAAATGAAAGAAGTTTTGAAAAACTTGATAATGGTTTTCAAAGGAGGAGGATAATTGGTGGTGCTTGCTTGTGCAGGGCTGTGTGGAAACTTTCAGGCGGCCGTGAGAGAGGACTGTCACTAAAAATTTAAACTCTTGTACACAAACTTGACCTAGAGTCTTCTCCAAGTTTTGGCGGTTCGTTTTCACAACACCCCTCTGAGACCAAGGGGTGCAGGATGAAAGCAATAAGACAGATGGATAAGGTCCCAAAGGAAGAAAAAAAAAAGAATCAGTAGTTGTGATTTAATCCATTGGTGAAAGAGAGGAATTAACAACAATCTTAAAAATGAGGAATGTGTAAAGAAATCTTTAGTTAGGACCTATACAGAAATGGTTTAAGTGTATGACAAGAAGAAATTGAACAGGCACTTGCATCAAATACAGGGAATAAAGAAAGTTATAAAATTTTGATTTACTCTGCTTAGAGTAAGACAATTGTTCTGATGTTACATTTTAGGAATATTCTTTGATAAATATCTCAGAAAATTATCTCCAATGTAACTCCCAAAAGATATGCAAATAATTACAATTTCAGCATTTGCTGCCTGTGACAATAATCAAATGGAGCACATATTTACCAAAAACAAACAAACCCAAAATCCTGGGGCAAACAAAAAATCTTGCAGAAAATACATGTCGTTCACTGTTTCATTCAAATCACCCAATTCAAGAACACTTTGTTTAACTATCTTTGCCATTAATTTACCCAGAATTTTAAAAACTGAGCAAAATAGACTCATATTGAAAGAAGGGACCAATTAGTGTTGGATTAACATTCATGGTTATTTACAGTTGTTTTTGTACTTGTTCTTGTGCTCTGACTTCCTAAAATTTCACAACCCAAAGATTTAGAAAAATGGGGTTGTTTAGACGCAAAGCGCAATGAAGTGGCTGTGACCATTGTGTAGACACCACCTCTCTCATTATACTCTCTCAATCAACACTCAGTACACAGGAAACCGCAATAAAGCCCATCTGCCACGGTTAATCTGCAGGCATACCCACACCCATGTCTACGCCCGTTACTCTCCAGCCTTATTATTCTCAGATCCAAAGCTTCATAAGGGATCAGCCAAAGTCCATTAAAGTAAATAATAGCTAGAAATGACAGGCTTAGCAAGGATTGGGAGGAAGTTGAAGACCAATCTGAGCTCTGAGCTCTGATTAATAGAGAAAAGCATTAGGAGAAAAGGGGAGAAAAATGACCTCAGCCTGCTCCAAAGAATTCCTGAACCTTCGTTGTTAGGGCAAGTGCTACCATCTGAGACGTTAGTGATCCTTGAATTTCCTTCACTTTGATGCAGCTCAAATGGGAAAATTTTGAAGGTTCAGCAAGGCCCCAGACCTCAGCTGGAAAGCTGTCTGGAGTCAACCCTGTCAAAATTCTCTTGTTTAAGAGAAAGCCTTTATTAGCTAGATTGCAACAACAACAATAATAACACCCACAAATGTCCTACATCGTCTCATAAGGAGACCTCTGCTAGACACTGCAGATGCGTTTGTTATTTCCTTGTACATAGTCACTTTTAAAGTCTGCAAACAAATACAGAAAACTAATGTGGTTGTGAATCTTAAAGTGAATGCCTTTAGGACCTAGCTAGGTTTAGTCCGCTGATAAGAAAGCATATGCTTATATATATGGGGAGGGAGTAAAATATTTATTCAGTTTCATTTTGCAATATGTTTATCTTCATGATATAAAACAAAAAAAATCTCAAGCAGGTCAAGGTTTGCTGAGTCAAAACAAGAACATAAAATATTTCAGTTATTTGAACTATACGTTTTATATAACTGACCAGGGGAAAGACAACCAAATTAGGTGAAAAATAAGAGTTTTATTACCCTACTACTCTAAAAATTATTCTTATACAATCTGTTCAGTAAATTTCCGAGTGAGAGGAGCTCAAACATTGTCATCCTCAAACTTCTCTCCCCTACAAAGGTATATTTAGAGTTCAGATGAGACAGTTTTGCATTTTGGTGCAGCTTTTCACAGTGATTTGAAGAAATCCACACCTGGTAGAACTATTTGTGAATAGGAAAAATCATTTCAAATCTATTTTTCAATAAAAAGTAATATACCTTGTATAAAATACTATTTTCTTTATGAAATGTGAGTTTGGAATGAGAATTGTAGAGAGAGTTCAAAAACTGAGAGGGAGGGCTCCTGTAAGTCTGTGCTAAAAACTAACAAAGCAGCTCCTGCGTGACAAAAATCCCAGGCTGACGGCAGACAGAATTTGGCAGAGGAAATAGGTACTGGAAAGCCCTAGTGATTTCTTAGGAAGATAGCAATGATTCTGATGGGGGCTTGATGTCAGGAAGGCTCACCTTCAAATGTATTTCTTGCTCAATTTTATATTGTAGTATGCAATTTTCATAAATAAAATGAAAAGGCTATGTAAAGAAACATGGCTAAAATGATGATGCCTCACAGATATTGCTGATAACATGGCTAATGCACTGTTGATGTGCATATGATACAATTTTCATATTTTAATCTTAAGTAGAGTGGGAAATGACAATTATGAAAAGACAAAATAGATACCACCAACAGCTGTAATTGCTATCTAGGCTGCTCAAAGATGGGCAAAAGACACGGTAAATCAATATTAAGTTCTCCACAAACGCAGGTATCACAACAAGGACATCATATAACATCATTATAAGCAAATTCTAATACAATTTGGACAGTTATAAAGAACACAAGATGAATGTAGGGAATGTGAGGCTAACTTCTCCTCTGCAACTTCAGCTGATATCTTATAGGGAATGGGCATCATGGCTATGTGTTTCGCTAAGGACGCAAATTGCATAGGCTTTAATAAATGAGTGTCATCATTTTGTGATTAAAAATGCTAAGATCATAAATGTTATACGTAGTTCTGCCACACGCAGTTACAATCAGTTGAAATTCACTAATAATATGGTAAGATGTGGGTGGAATGCTTCTGTATATAATATCACAGTGAAGTGTATAAGGAACACCTAATTAAAATGATAGGTTACTAAGCTAACTAAACTTGAAAAACTTAAAGATTAAAGACATGGTTTAAATGTCATTAAAGAATGAAAATTGAAATTGTCTAATGTAAGCCATGGGGATGAGAAGTAGAGGGGGAAAATTAAGCAAATAGACAAGAAAATAAACAAGTGCTTCAAGCAAAAGATATAAGAAAAGTAACAATTAATATAAAGATATTTTGGTTGTAATCTTAAAATTAAATATTTGCATTTCAAATTTTAGTTTTAAAGGCTGATGATTTGATGGTCCTAGAGAAAGTAGAAATGATTTTATGCACATCTTTTTGTGGTTACTAGTTTCTTTTATGAGAAATCAAAGACACATAACACAAAAAAATGGACTTAATAAATTCTTACTGCTCTTGTGCATTCATTCAAAAGTTATCTATGTACTTACAAAAATTGGAAGCATTTGCTGTCTCAATGTAATATTTAAATTTATAATTGAATTAAAATGTTCAGAATTTATTTACCTTTTAATTTTTCTTCTTTCTCATAATTGAACTTCATTTTGAATTTGTAGGATTCTCTACCACAGCACAGATATACAATAAAAAGAAGCATTTTTCATCATAATTTTTAGTTAACATAAAATGCTATAAATATGAAATTAAATTTGAATCATTTGCAGAATTATTTGATACCAGAAAATAAATGATATATTAGCCAAAGGACTCTGAGAAACAAATTTCTTTTTGTGCATGTGTGTGGTATAGAAAACAATAATAATCCAAATTCATCAATTGTTTACTATGTACTTTTGCTCTTCCATAAGATTTCATCTCCCTTGAATATTGTCTTCGTGTTATGCTAGCATTAGATAGTTTACATTCTCAAATTATTTTGGTATTTATATAAATGTAAAAGTAAATATCAAATATAATATAAATTATACACATGAGAAACATGTTTATAAACAGTTATGTATATGATGTTATGTTTATCATAGCATGTATTAACCCATATACATCTTATAAGTAAACTTCAAAATGCACATAATTTAGTCACTTAAAGATGACTGAAATTTTAATTTCATACATACATAATAAAAATTTTAGTAATAATTCGTATTGAAATATATGGATTCATTATGCCAAATATTCTGCATTGAGCTTTTCAATAGAAATGATTTGTTATGAATTTTAATATGAAAAAATTTTCTCTTTGGGTATATTATGTTAACAACTTTTAAAATCAGTCTCAAATTTTTTGGTCCTGTTATCAGACAAGAGTATTTAAAAAGAAAACAGTTTCCTATCCTTTCACTGAAGACTCAAAAATAAAAAGATATGATTTTCTTTTATAATGATTGTATTTAAATTCTCCAGATAAGAATAGATTAAGGACTTTTCATTAACCACAAAGTGTCTCCAATCTTTAAATTCTCTTTTTTCCTCTCTTCTCTATTGCTATATTTCAATTCATTGTGAATCTATGTGGTCATATTTTTGCATTGTCATACTTGGAAACTTTAAAAATATTCATTGAGATGTTTGTACAAAGTATGCTTTAGATGGGAGCTTATCAAACTTAAATATGTATGCAGTATATACATGGAATTAGGTCATTGTTATATGTCATATAATTATATAATGTATGCATGTAATATATGTGAACTGAAAATTTTACAATTATTTTACGAATGTATGTTTAAGAACCTGGCTGTTAAAAAGCATGATTCAGTATAAAAAAAACAAATAAAACAACAATAAAACATATTGCACTTGGTTTATCCATGTTCACATCTACATTTTAAAATAATTCTATCAGTGAGCTACACCCAGCTACTACTCAAAAATACTAATTTTATAATAAACTGTGCACATCTGAAAATATTCACAAATATGTCTAAAGTCCTGGTTTCTACAGATCATGAAACATAAAGTCATTTCACTATGAAGTATGAACACATGTGTTCATAAATCTCACTTGAAAGAATTTCAAATACAAAATAAGCCATATTTAGTTTATTTCTTTCTTTACAAAGGAAAAAAAAATGTGTGGGCATGTGTGTGTGTGTGTGTGTGTGTGTGTGTGTGTGTGTGTGTGTGTTTAATGGGATGCTGTGTATCCCACTATATCTTACCACTTTGTCTCTTTGGATAACAATCACAGGACCCAGATGCTAAGGGTAAGTGATATTTTCCCACAAGCGGCTTCTGGCTCCTTGGCAGACGTTGTAGGCAGTTGTGTTGGCAGCCGCAGAGCTGCCTCTGGCTCTCTTGTGTGGCTTTGCTGTTAAAGGGATGCTTGGCCTGCCCTGTCCTCCTGGATACCATTTCCCAGTGACAGCCCTTGGGTTTTGTGAAGCTTTATTCTGAACAAATCCCTTGTGCAATCCCTAGATGAACTCTCTAAAGACGAAATAAAACCTTTCTTCATGATTGTGTTTAATGATCAGCTGAATGGCTGGTTCAGGTACTCAGGAAAACCAAAACCAAAACTAAAACTTTTGCAATCTTTCTGGCTACTTGATTATATTTCTGTTCTTACTGTTACCCTGAACACATTGTGTCCCAACTTAAAGGACAGCGTGCTGACCAAATGATTTTGAAAAAATATAGTGCTTTTTATGTTGTAATTTATGTGATTTTTAAGTCCTTTGTTTCCTTGTATTCATTATCATGAGCATTTTTTCAAGAGTTTTCTTACCTGACATATAAACCATTTCTTGGGGAAAAAAAAAAAAAAAAGGAAGGAATTTTGTGATTTTTACAAAGTACAACTGGCCGGTGAACTATTCAATGAAATAAAAGCATTATGCTTCTGAAATTGATACAGAAGTGATACTTCATTCCTTGCATGCTTGTAATCCGGATGACATTTTGAAGCATGTGCTCAAGTTGTACAAACAAAAGCACACAGCAGAGCCAAAGATGGTTTCAAAGACACCAATATAACTGTCTACCGAATAATTTGTGAGTCATTTTCACGATTCCTCACAGTGATATCACAAAAGTACTCATAAATGTGTATCATAGATGAAATGTTTCACTTGCTTACCATATGCATGACCCAAACCTCCAAAGCAAAACATGTTTGAAGACTGATTTCTGTATTTTTTTATAAATTGAAATATCAATAGTTTTCTAAAAGAAATATTGAGCATATTTTGGATCAAAATGCCCAGTACAATCAAACCAGAGTTGAAATAGATTTCTTTCTGACATTTTTATCTCATATGCCTACAAAACACCAAAATTATTGATATTATGTTTCATAGTTTAACAAGTTAATTGCTTTGACAAATCAAAAAAAGAAGATAATTATATACATGTTGTATGGACCTTCGAGTAAGCAGGTAAAACAATTTCTTATGAAAGTTTTCATGTGTTTTGTGAAACACTGCAAATTATATATATGATATATATATATATATATGATATATATATATATGATATATATATAATATATATATGATATATATATATATATATAGTAATAATGTTATATTAGAAATAAATACAGGTTAGTGAAGAATCTGACAAAAGCCCCAAAGAGAAATGAAGATAGCATCTCTTATTCATAGCTGCAAATGTGTAAGAACAATTTTTTTACGTTGAATCCTTTCAAACGCAGCACACGCCCTCATTGCATCTAATGTTCTACAAACCATGAGCTTCTAGCTCAGTGGAAAATATTCACAGTCCATTGTGTTCTGACTTTCTATGATATGTGAAAAACCCAAGTTCTGCACCAGCATTTTTGGTTGTATTAATATAAAACTTCAAATATTTCTGACACCTGAATTACTATAAAATAATGTGTTCTTCTTTTGTTCCTGGATCAATTTTTCTATTTTTAAAAATATAAAACACTTGATATTCATACAAAAGAGAAAGTTTAAGTATCTTTCTGAAGCATTTCATCAATTCACCTTCCAGCTGTAACTGTGAGAAACTTTCTTGCTAAATTTTAATTTATATTTTCTGTGTCATGGAAGAACACAAAAGATTAAACAGTTAGACACTATTCAGTGTTAGATTGCCCTGCTCCGCCAGAAAGTTTTCTCATTGTTGAAAATGTATATTATTTTTCATTCACCTATTCGTTTTGTGGAATGTTGAGTTACATGGATAAAAGACTTGAAAAATATTTTTAAAGAAGTTACATTGTTTTTACCAACAGAATCCCTGGTAATATACTCCAAGACAATAAAGAGAAAGAAAATTAGAAGTACTGTTCTTTGATTCTCCTTCCACCAGTAGGTGTCACTATTGGGACTACTGTAAAAGGTACGTAATGATCTCAAGACAGCTAAGAGAATTTACATGAAAGAAAATAATGCATTACCTCTATGATCTGGAGAATAATTTCCAGAATCATCCTCACCCAACCACCCCATGAAGAGTTACTCACCTAAGAGTTATCTCAAATAAGCATGAAGCCATTTGAAATGACTATGCAATGACTCTGAAAATCTGTGGATGTGAAACCCTAAGATAAAACTCATGTCAGTCAACAGAGCAACAAAACCTCATAGGATTATTCAAAGATAGAGCAGCATACATGTAATGAGATAGTATCCTGTCATGATCAAATTGCAAATCATTTTGGATTTTAAAATATGAATGTAAATAAAACAAGAAGAATTAGAGTTTTGCCTTTTGGAAATTTGAGGTTAAATGTAGTTACCCTAATCTCTCATACATGAACAAAGACACTTGTAGAGTTAGTTCACTTCTTTTTGTCAAGTAGAGGACAAAAGTAGGGTTTCCCTATTTAGAAATAGAAAAGAAATATCCTCATCCTAGAAGTATTACATAGTTTTTCAATGTCTGGTGGAGAAAAGAAAAAACAGTTACCTCACAAAGCAGAAAGGCTACCTGTTGGCCATATGAAATGAAAATACACTGCACTGCTGTGTTCATCTTAAATCCCACTCAAAAAGACTTATTTGGCCCATATTTCTTCTCTATAACTAGGAAATCTTGACAGTAAACTTGTTTATTAATTAACAAAAATAATTTTCAAATATTTTAACTATACCTTAAAAATTCCTAGTTCTGTTTTTATTAATATAAGGAATGTATGTTACGTGTGTAAGCAATGCATTCTCCCTTCTGAATACACACTGTTAAAAAACGCAGTTTTCTACTAAGATGATTTTAAATCTTCAACTTGCTTGAGAGTCCTATGTACAAAGAAGCAAAAATGATTACCTGTTGTCTCCTTCTTGAATAATCTTAAAATATCTCAACGTGTCCAAGCGGCTCATACATCAGAGCTTTATGGTCCTTTGATTACCTGAGAGAAAGCAGTTAGACATGACAAATTCGACAGTGTGAATGCCATTATTCAGTGTTGTGTACAGTGTGGTGAATGGCTATCAGTCTTGTGTGCAACTTTCCAGTAGAAGCTGAAAGTCATTCTTCTGTTTGCTTTTCCAGAGTGCTTCCACACAGAACTGCACCGAGGGAGACTCACCAGTAGAGGCCTCTCTAGATTTGCCTTCTGTTTAAGAACTCAGAACGCTCTTTGAATCCACTGCAGTTAACACAACTACTTGAAAAGATTCTTGTTGCATAAGGAAAAAGATCACTCTTTAATGCCCTTTTAAGTTCCATGATGTTGATTAATGTTGCCCTTTACATTAATGATGTTTCAAGTAAAAGAAAACAAATTTAAAATGGATAAATTCTATTGAGGATGCATTAATTAGACAGAGACTTTGCCATATGCTGTGGCTAGAGGGCTTGCTGGCCTTTCTCTTGTAGTTACCTGTGTAAAATCCACCCTATCCTCTACATGAATGCCCAAGCTGAATAGCCATTTGAATGAAGGCTTTAGTTTGATTCGCCATACAAGGGGTACTGTGTCACTGTGTTTTCTTTCTAGGAGTCACTAAGTGATTTCTATATCTGTTGTCATGGTGATACAGCAAAGCAGGGGAAAATGGGGGCAACTTCAGGCTTTCTCCTCACCCTCTGCACTAAGATGTTGTTAGCAAGCCTATAAAACATTGGGCTTTCTCTGGGCCTTCTTTTTGTTCCCTGATTGTCAATAAAACTCATTTTAAGGGTAACAAGGACATCTAAATGTCATCTGTCACAGTGTTAGAGAGATTAAGTTTGTTTAGGGACTTGTGCTGGACAAAGGCCACTATTTGTTCCGCAGATACAAAGCAGTGTTGGCTATCACCACTCTTGATTTAGAAGGAGGCCCTGAGACCATCAAGGAAATATCATCTCAGTTGCAGGTGACAGAGAGACCATCTTGACATAACGGCATTAACATGAAAGAAAATTAATTATGGTTTCGAGTGAAAAGCCATAGTTTCACTTCACTCTTTCCTTTCTAGGTGCACCAAGCCTAGACCTAGGAAGCCTCCTCCTAGACCAGAGATCAGCAAACAGACATGAAGGGCCACAGGCCTGTTTAAAAACATGACACACACATGATGGTCCCCGAATGAATGATGAAGGGAGGCTGTGCAAGAGAAGTTCAACAATAATGTGTACTACATTAATTCAGCATTTGCTCAATAATGAGGCTAAATGGAACATACAGATTAATGAAGACATTGGTGTTATTAAAATCAAATCCTGTGGCTCATATGCTTTTTTTTTTTAATAATGAACATGGTGGCTATTGGAGAGAAAGAACAGGATTTTTTTTCCCTATTAATTTGGCACACATCCCAGATCTCATTCAAGCAGAACCTAGCCTCTGCAATATGCAGCCCATGGTCTTTATGTGCTTTAGTCTTTCTAGTTCATATGTGTTAATTTGAAGGAAAAAAATTTCCCCTTATAAAAAGATTTTTAACATAAATGTGGAGCCTAAGTAATAATTAAATTGTATTAAAACCAAGATTTCCTCTTACAGACTGGGTGATTGTGAAATATATAAAATGACGTGCATATAATCGAGTACTCACATCACATCTGCCTGCACTATGTAAACTGATGTAGCTATCTTGGGGCCTTTAGAGTCTGATGACATCAATGCATCTCAAATACTATTTTGCAGGAAATATACAAGGCAGAGAGGGCCACCATGTTAAAACTTAGACAAATTGTTACAAAAGTCTGCAATGAGATATTCATTTGCAATTTATTAGGTGCTAATAATGTAGACATTTATGAAATGTAAACAAAAGCAGAATGTGCCTCAAATTCTAGTTTCTCTGTGAAAACAACTCTATGCTCAGCACATGGTGGTGCGCACAAAAACATCACTGGAAACATAGCTCTCACAATTGAGTGACAATAATACATTCCTTCATGATTTTGGTCCTATGGAAGAAAAGTGTGTGCCTGTGTATGTGTTTTAAATTTGAAGGTCCTTCATCCACATTCTTTTAATTCATTTTGAAATTTCCAGTTTACTCATTCTGAGAGAGATCTGGTTTCACGGCCATTGGTTAAACTCCTGCTACTGGGTAGATCTCATTTTAGCTGTAAATAGAACAATTAATGTTGAGAAAGCTGAAATCTAAATATCAACACCAATAGATGCAACTGGAATTTATTAAAAAAATTTCTATGTTGCACAGTCACATACTCATAACTGTGATTGTAATGTTAAATGTGTATTGCTATTAACAAAATTACAGATGTATTCCTTTCTTTAAAAAAATTTCTGGAGCAAATTATGATCAAGCTCAGTGTGATTTTTTTAATATAGGAAGATTTATTTTTCACAAACTAAAACAGCATTGAGATGTGTTAGATCAATATTATGGGACTAGATGACTTTTGTTTAGTATCTTAATAGCTCGGTCATTTGTTATTCATTCAACCACACAGGAGACACCAGGGTGTTATGAAGGACAATACTCTTGGGGCGTTTTGAGTTCAATTTGTGTTTCTCTACTTATGCAGAACACGTGTTGGCATCAGCTATGGTTACAACAGGGGAATCACAATATACAATGAAGTCTTACCATGTCGCTCTGAGCTAACACAAGTCTCCAAAACAGCTGAGCTATAGTTCTGGTACACTGTTACTAGGAGTAGTGAATGTATTCCACCTTTCTATTTTTCAGTATTTTATTTCTTAGAATTTTTTAATGGATTTCTAAGCAAGAATAAAAATCAAAGACCTAGAAAAAGGGTATTGAACTTCAACATAGTTTAACAAAAAGAATAATTTGTCACTCATTCTTATAACTATAAACAGGGTGACAGAACACAGATTCAATGAGTCCACAATGCACAGAGGTATACAATGCATGCACACTTACAAGTGCAAGCCGTGTGTGCATACATACATCTGTCTAGGTAAACACAATATTATGTGTTCAAGAGCCCATTTTTGTCATTTTATACATTTTCTAGCTTTCCACATTGAGGGATTAAGTAAAAGAAAACAAAAGCTAAAAGTTACCAGTTTTCTAAATTTCTTGAGATAAAAGTTAAGTACATTAAATATCTATGTAATTACATGACATATTTAATTTCTCTGAGTTGCCTCTAAGGAAAACCTAGGGATGGTATAAAGTCGCCTCTTTCAGCTCTAAAATACAGTCAACATTTCATAAGAGTTTTTATTTTTATGATTATCAAGTGTTTAGAAAACAGTGATTTTTATGAAGAAAACATAGAATTGCAAAAAAGTTTCATGTTGAAAATGACCTTCAACAAAATTAATAGTTCTATTTAATATTTGCTCTGAAAAAATGAAGCATACAGGCAATTATTTTTTTTATAAAAACTAAAGTCTGATTTTTGGAAAATGAGAGGAAAAAGTTCATCAAACTGAAATTAGGATTATTCATCAAGGTTATATACCATCCTAATTTTTAAAGTTCTTCTTTGTGTTCAGGAAGTTATTATTGGAAAACCAATAATAAACCTTCTGCAAGAATAATAATTCTAATAAATAACACAGTTATGTCATTGTCATTTAGATGAGATGAAACAGCTGAGAATATTTCCTCCTCTACTACATTATTCTGCTTTCAAATTCTCAAATCATGTTCTGTATTCTAGCTGACACTGATCATTCAATAGCTAAATTTATCATAAAATAGATGACTTTGGTGATAAATTCCTATGCATACTAAGGTTTTCTTCCCACCTTACAGAATACAGTGCTTCTTTATCAAGAAAAATCTTGTCCAAGCATTCTACAAATAATAACATAAAGTCTCAGAAACATTGCCCTTTCAAAAATTTTTTAATCAGATAAAGTACTCTATCTATACATGAAAACAGATTATTAAAGATATCAAGATAAAGCATTTATAGTCAATTCTATCACTTATGGTTATCTTCCTCACTCTATTTTCATTCTAATTTTTTGCCCAAACCCTTCTTTTGGTTATTAATTATAGTTGAAAAACATGCATTGGTAAGAAGTTTCTTTTAAAAGTTATTAATTCACCTTTACTAAGAATAAGAGCTGTCCCATGGAAAAATCTTATAATATTCAAGAAATGATACAATGAATCACTGTGGTAGTACATATTTGGGAAGATAACCACTATAATGTTTCATTATTAGTTATTAATGCATTTAAAATGCTGAAAAATTGAATGACCTTTTAAAAAGTAATTGAATTATCTAGTCAAATGTAAATTTTAAGTTATACTGTTCACTTACCATCATCAAATATTTTAATATGAATGATATTAGAAAAATAATAGAACAATTACATAGTTAAAATAAAACATGTGCATTAATTCTTCACCACAGCTTGCTATTTTTGATTATAACCAAGATCACCCATTTTATCAAAAAATGAATTTTGGACTTGTATATTGAAAGAAATATGAATAAAGACTAATGGTATATCTTAAAATCCATTAAATTATAATCATAACAATTAATGCTCTTAGGAAAAAATTATAGAAACAAAATTATAGGTTTGAAAAATCTTAATATCAACTTTCCAATTAAAGAAATATTTCTATGTCTGAATTGTTATCTCTGCACTGTTTAAACTGAATGACATTCTTGACTAAATGCATGTCAGGCAAACCAAAAAACATGATTAATCACAAGTGGTAAAAAAAAATCAGTATTTCAGTTCTGTATCAAAGCCACTCTTCTAACACACTTCCAGTTGAATTGTGTAATTCTTTCATCACTGACTAAATTTATACAGTCTGGAAAAAAATAAAGATCAGGGTATGAAGCCAGTAGCTTCTGAAGATTAGGTTGTTTTATTATAAGAAAAGAAGAAATTTTATTAGCTATTTTTCTTAAGCTTCAAGCATCAGTGTTATTCATTTTTATTAAAAGTTATAATGCCTACTTTAGAAACACAGCTTGTTTTTCTTTTAATACAAATAAATATTTTCTGAATGTTTTGAAGTTTTTAATATTCCAGTTATCATTTTTGTACAGTTTGGCTTAAAGCTTTATAACTATTTCCTGTACATTTGTAAAATTTTTCCTGTCAGTGCTAAAGGAAATAAAATACAAAAAATAGATTTTTG